GGAACTCGATCTGGGGGCTGAGGATGGACACGCAGTTCTCACACTGAGAAAAGATGCAGTGATTCCCTGGGCTGCCCAACACGACATGGCCAGGAAAGGATTTCAGCGTCCCATACAACTCAGCAGGTCCAAATCAACCAGAAGGAAACCAGTCTGCCTGGAAAATACACTCCTATTTCTCCACAGTACTCAATTCTCTGCCCCAGCCGAGCAATGTCCAGTCTTGGAGCAGCGGAGGCACCTTGAGAATTGATGTCTTTAAGTACATGTTAGCTTTAAGACCTGTCATACTTGGGAAAAGGAGATTGGTCTCATTCACTGTCCACAGACAGACTTCAAATTTCACGTGCAATCACTTCTATTCCATCTTACATTTCAAATTCATGTCACAGTGATGGTTTCCTCTCCTCTGTCTTCCAAAGAAGCCTGGATGTGTGGCTCAGATGGAGACATCTGCACGGGGTCTGTTTACAGTCAGAGTGGTGAGTCTGACCCATGTATCCTCGGGGGAATCTATGCTGTCAGAAGACAATATGCCGTCACAACGTCCCGTGACAGCACTGGGGAGCTGCCAGTGCAGCATGAAGACAAGTTCATAGAACCCGACTGTCCTCCGTGCTCTGAGAAACATCACCTAAGTGATGAAAGGCCAACCAAATGCTGAACTCTGATGCTCAATATGTAAACATGTTTAGAAATATGCTTCCAGCCTGAGGATGGGCGTGGAATGTTGTTGCAGCAGTATAATGCATGACTACCTATGCCAAGGATAACAGATGCTCTCAATGTTGGTTGCTGTATATAGAATACATACTTAGGCTTTATGACAGCTTGGAAAAGTGCCGTGTACTGAATGGAAACTGCAGAGTAGATTGATTGTTTCTCAACTTTGAAATCAAAAAACGCCATGGCCAATGGGAAAGGTGTTCAGTTTGTGGGAAGTATCAAAAAATTGGTGAGTTTGACTGCACTGTATTGTTTCAGATGAATGCAGATACTGAAAACAAATCAAAGAATTTAAAAAAATGGGAACAGTCAAATAAACATCCTCAGTGATGATGTTTCCAGACTTCAGACCTGTGGTACAAAGCCAGCCTGGATTTGTTTATGCTGGAAACTGTCATATCCGAGTTGAGGATTATTGCATTCTCTTTCCAGAAAGAGCCAGAAAATACAACCACTGAACATCATCTCTTGTACAAAGGTTATGTCTGCTAGACAGGGCATACCAGAGCTCCTCAGACAGCTAATGCCCATGGGCTGATGTCACAAACAACAGTGCTTTGCTTGGCAGTGCAGAAATATTTTTTTTTTGAGCAGAGGACACCCGGTATCTAATTAGCTGACAGAGATCTGGGCAAGTAATTGAAGTGATGCTTATTTCATTGTGATGTAGCTGATTCCATGTATCTTCCATCTAGGAATTATTATTTTTCCCAGATGCCAGATTTTTTCCCAGATTCCCAGATATTTTCCCAGATTATTTTTCCCCAGATGCCTTGTAACAGAACGAGGTCTGGGTACACGGGGCAGGCTGTCCAGCTGGAGACCTCCAGGCTGCTGCACCCTCCAAGAAAAAGGCTCCAAAATAGAAAGCAAAGCAAAGCAACCCACTTAAACACTTTTAACCAATTAACATTTGCTTTATTTAGGTAGTTCTTGGTTTCCCTTCCCCAGAGACAAGAGACTAGGCAGGAGAGAGGCTGAAGCTACACGTCCCTGTGGAGAGCTTGGAGACAGCTGGTGCTCATGGGCACACGGCCAAGGAACCCAGCACTGGAGCTTGGGTTTCTTGGAGCAAAAGGAAACGTGACATGTGGGTCTTGGCCTGCACTCCAATCTGTTTACCCCATGCTGGCCCACAGGAGAGGGATTTTTTTTTTATTTTTCCTCGGGAAGCGCTTATTGAGATCAAGAAAGAAGTTTATTAACTTATTAGCCAAATGGAGACTGTCTCACTTCGCTGTGCTGCCTGGCTCCCTTCCAGCCTGGGCTGGTATGAAATTACCCACTGTGACTCCAGAAAGCAGGAACAAAGAGCCCTGCACACCAGCTTTCCTAGCAGCCTTTGTTTCGGATTTGTGCCTATATCAGCCCAAAAGCTGGGCAGCAGAGCACTCAGCTGCAATGTCCTGTGTGAAACTCACTGCACAGCTCTCCATGGGTGCTGCAAAACCAGGCAGCGCTGCAAAACCAGGCAGTGCAGCACTGCAAATTTGGCTGTGTGCAATGGCACTGCCAGAGCTTTGCCTCCAAACCAGCAGCTCCAGGAGCAAAAATTCTGCCCAAATCAGAGTGGAGCATGTTGGCCAGCTCAAATGCAGGATGTTTATTTTAGAATCAATAGAATTACAGACTTGTTTGAGTTGGAAGGGACCTTACAGACCATCTGGTCCCACTCCCTGCAGTGCATAGGGACACCCACAGCTCCATTAATGCTCAGAGCCCCATCCAGGCTGACCTTGGCTGTCTGCAGGGATGGGGCATCACCACCTCTCCGGGCAACTGCCCTGAATGTAAAAAGCTTTCTCTTTATATCTAACCTAAATCTCCCTTCTTTGAGTTGGAAACCATTTCCCCTTGTGCTATCAACTGGTGGGTCTCCAGATCATGCAGCTCATGAGGTCTTGAGCTCAAGCAGCTGTTCAGCCAAAGAGGGGGTACTGGGATGCCCCTCAACACATTGAGGCCATTTCTTCCTTTGTAAAATGATCTTGAAGTCAAAAAACATTAGGGAGGTAGTTGGCTTTAATGATCTATTTGGGCACACTGGGAAGAGGTGTCTCAAAGGACTTGCTGGGAAGCACAGGCATCTCTGGGAGCCTTCCTGCCAAGGAGTTCCTCATTCAGGAGCTTTTGGTTATTGCTCATAGACAGGAGGACAATGACTTTCCCGTTCATATTTGCTTCACTTTTTTTTTTTTTTTTTTAATTTAATCAATCTATGAAACACCTTATATGCGTAAATGAGGTTAATCTGAAACTCATCCCATAGCAGAACTGAGGCAGAAGGTTGATGTGGTCTTTGCAGATCCGCTCATACAGGATGCACACTGAGACATACATAACTGCTACGTGAGATCCCTGTAGTTTTGGAGAAAAGAGAGAACTGGGACTTTCAGGTTCACAGTCAGACCCTTCTCTAATTCAAAAGAGCTAAACCACGTGCTTCCTTGTTTCTGATACACAGAGCTCCCAGCAAACCTGCTCTCAAATTTCCTCACTCAGTGATGTTTGTGATTATCAGAGAAGTCAGCATTTGTTTCGAGGAGAATGACTGAATCAGGTTGAGTAAATTTTATTTGCTGATATCATCATGCAGGTGTTTGAAGCCTAATGCACATGGCCACACTAAAACCTTTGCTACTTACCCTACGCTGCAGTGCTGTTGCCTTTCTTCCACTGGTGCTGCCCTTACAACAAAGGGGTTGGGTGCTGTTCCTGGGCTGCAATGATACTTCAGTCAATGCATGTCTTAAATTTTGGCGCAAAAAGAGTGAAGTAGTCTCATTTTAAAGTATTATTATGCATTTTGAAATGACTGTTGAAAGCCCTTGGCCCTTAACACTTGTGCACAAATCACTTGCCCTCTCTCAGGCTGTCTGTATTGTGTTAAGGGCTATGAAGACTGGGCTGCTCCTGCTGATGACTTTCCAATGGAGAGGGCCACTTAATGAGGAGCTGCCCCAACTTTCCCTTGTGTTTAACATGAAAAACCCCAACCCCTCTGCAGCTCTTAAGTCCTTTGCTGTGGAAAGGAGCTTATAAACTTGTTACTCAGCACTCAAGATCGCACAGTGAACTCACTCTGTGTTTTGCTATGTTTTACATGTGTGAATTGAGCAACGAGATGCAATCATGCAGCCATTTCTGGACGGAGTGATGACTTTCAAATTGAAAAACTCGATGGCAAATGGTGAATCATCATCAGAATTCAAACCATATGACTGAAATGCTTTTCATGTTTTCCAGTGTTCCCAGTGCTGTTTCATCTTTGAAAGTAATCACACAACAGAATGTTACGACCTACTGCAGGGGACCTGCCATAGCAGGGGTTGGATTGGATGATCTTCAGAAGTCCTTTCCAACCCCTACAACTCTGTGATTACCTTTTTAATTGGGTGATGACCAATCGAAAGCCTTCAGAATCCTCCAGCTTCAAGACTTCAGCAACCACCAAGAAAAGGATGAACATTTTAGCTAGGTCTTGAATTATTTTCTCCGAAGAGCGGCTGCTGTGTTATTGGTAATACATGAAGCTTTTGTCCGACCACAAAGCAGCACTGTAGCCATGGAAAACAACTGTATTTAATTTGCCATCACAACTGCATTTCTCCATGAATGATTATGAGCACCGCTCTGGTGCACATCTGTGTCTTTTGCGGTGATCGTTTGCTTGTTTTTATGTTTTGCTATATCTAGGCAACAAAAGGAAGCCTGAAGAGCTTTTCCTTTCAACAGTTACACCAGGTTTGATTTCATAACCCTCTTTTACACTTGACGGTGCACTGTGAGCATCTGAGAAATTTCCTTTGCTCAAACTGCAAAACGCCTTGGACGATTAGCACCGTCTATTCTCACCCTCATGAAATCCTTTCTCCATTCTCATGGAAAAAGCAGCATCACTTCTGAGACTTAAATTTGTAGATTGAAAATTCCCATTGTAGTCAGTCACAGCCTAAATCGTCAGATGGGCCTTTGGCTCAGTATGAGAAACAGAGGTACGGGATGAAACATTTAGCAATTGATTTTTTCCGTCTCCCAAGCACTCAGGATTTGATTCAGAAGGGCTGTTCCCATTGCACAATTCAGGACTAGCTGCTGCTGGGACACACACTGAGCGGCAGGACAAAGGAACATGGTGGGACAGGGAGCAGCCCAGCGCTCCATGCTGCTGCTGCAGACTTTACTCTTACAAAAACCTCCTCTTCAATCAAATATATTTGCAATTTGGGTGATGTTCCTGTATTTCTTTAAAGCCGACCACTTCTATGGTAAGTAATGTCAGAGTCAGAAATGATTCGAGGTTTTTTTCTGGGAAAAAAAAAACTGTTCTGAGAATTTTCTCTGCCCTACTGACTCTGAGGAGCCCTGGGGCTCCTGCTGTGATCTGACCATCCTGTCTGCTTGTTGTTCTGCCCAGCAATCTATAGATTCTGCTCTGCTGCTTTCACGCATGGCTGGAAAACCGTTTACCCTGTAAAACTCCCACATTCCAGCTGGAGAAAGTCACAGCTATTCTCATTTCCAGAGACATGCTTCCAATCTCATGGGCCATCCCATGGGCCTTGATCCAGACCCCCTGCACCATGGGTACCCCCTTCCCCAGGGCACAGCTCCCAGGGCATCTCTGGCTGGGGAGAGGCGCTGGAGGGAGGTAGCTCAGCTCTGTTACCTCCAATGCTGCTCTGTGCCTGCTGAGAACCTGGCCCTGTGTTTCCATCCTGACTCCTCCCTTCCTGCCTTTCCAGGCCACACATTCCCAAAATATCCCCTGTCCCTCATTCAGGGAGGCAGAAGGTAGCGCTGACCCTGATCTGTTTTGCAGACAGTGGCTGCTCCTCTCCGCCCCCTCAGAAATTCTTTATAAACAGCTGTTAAGTGAAGAAATCACACCAAGATGGTCGATTTTTATTTTATTTTATTTTGTAGCATGGCTACAAGAGGAGATTTGGGCTTTCCTCTGCTGGATTTACATCCAGTAGATGAAGAATGGCAAAGGACTGTCCCTTGTGAGAGCCTCTCCTTTGCAGGAGCCAGCAATGCACAAAGAGCTGCTGTAAATCAACCTGGCAGCAGCAATAACATCTGACAGTGCCAAAAGAGCCCCTCGTTGGCTTTGCTGTCTGGAAATGCCTGGCCGATGGCAGGGTTTGTATTTATGCTTCTTGGTAATTTGTGCATACATCAGTTTATTTATAAGCAGAGCACTTGCCCAGAAAGCGCTGTGTTTTCTTTGGCCACTCCAAGGGTTTCTCTCTGTTTGGTTTCCAAAGCACACACGTGGAAAGTGGAGGAGCGAACTGCTGCACCAGGAAGAGTTAGTCATTTGTCCAGGATAATTTTTCCAGGTGGATTTTATGAGAAGCACAAGGCAGGAGGAGGTACAGCGCAACAGAGTCAGCCACATGGTGTGCAGTTCTGCCCCATCCTTTAAGCATGATCCCCTCAAGTGTGAGAGCACCAGAAGATGACGAAGGTAAAGTGGGTTAAAAATGCACTTTTGGTTTTCTTTCCATGGGAGGGAGCATTCAATGTGCTGTAGGATAATTTGGGGCTGGATCTTCTCTGTTATGCAGCAGAACATAACTTGGTCCCAGTGTCTGGTTCTCGATAAGCTGGTGATGACACCAATCAAATATATTTTCAATCTGGGGGCAGCAGCCCAATTGCCCACAGCTTTTGGATGTGCCCTGGGTCTCCCATGAAGGCAGAGGTTGAGAGCCTGATTCCCAAGGACAACTCATAGTGGGGCCAACGTGGCTGTTGCTGAAGCACTGGGAGCAACACCAGTGAACTGGGAGAAATCGTGGCCACATGTAAAGTGGTGGGAATGTTGCCACTACTTGCATCAGAGCCAGAATTTCAGCCTCTGTCTGTGTGATGTGGCTGAGAGCCAGGGCCTGGCGCAAGCTGATCCCAGCGACTTGCTGCACTCCCAAGCTGGGAGCTGCTGGCTCCTGAACATGCTGGTAACTGGTACAGAGAAATATTGGGGTGTTCAGATGCTGAAATGGAGATAGCTATCATCCAAAGAACCCCAGGTATCTACATGGGGCTGAAAGACCCACAGGGTCCCCTTTGGGATGCATCAGGGCATCTCTGCATACAAACAGAAAGTTGTGCCTGGGCCAACGTGTCTTTTGTCACTGGGAAAAGTTCCTCAGTGTAGTATATCAGTGTATTTCTTCCTCTACCATGGATAAGTTCTCCAGTTCACAGCACCAAACTCCCAGCTCTGCACGGTGAAGCTGACCAATGTTCAGCCAGATCTGGGCTTTAATCCAAAGCCCAGTTTCAGAGAATGGCTGAAATGCTGGAAACTTGTTTGTATGTTCCTCTGTGGGTTTCCTCTTCAACCTCATCCTCCCTTTCCTCCTTGCAGGGAGTCAAAAGTCCTCCTTGGGGGTTTGACATCTGTGCTCAGGCTGTTGAAGCCCACATTCAGCCACCTGCAAGGGATGCAGAGCCAGCTCGGATTTTGGCTGGGCTGGCTGAGACCCAGAGCTGCTGACCAAAGTGGAGCTGTACCAGACAGACAGGAACGTGGCTGAAGTCTGTGATTCCGTGGTATCCTGTTCACCCTCATACAAACCAGGCCACTTCTGCAGGAGTTCAGCACTTCTCTAGAAGAGAACCTGGGAGGTAATCCAGTGACGACCAGTCCCTGAGATGAATGCAGCAGTGATAAGCTCTGCTTATCAGGGCTTATCAGGGCAAATACAGGCAGCATTGTATACAATGAGAAAAGTCATGGAAATAGAGAATACAGCAGGTAGAAGATTTTGACTTTCAGTAAAGCACTGGCTCTGAAATTATTTCAGGATCCTGTGGTTACTTCTGGAGATAAACTTATGCACTGAGACACAGTGAAATGACTGCATGCAAAGGTGGTGAGGCTCTGTAGGTTGCTGGTTTGGCCCTCTGAGACTGCAGGAGTCTCAGGGAGCAGGGAGCACAGCTCAAATGCCTCATGCAGGATGTGGAAAATGATAGAGCATTTGTAGATACATAACCCTAGGATTATGGCATAATGCCAGTCCAGGGGAAACCCAGATGGCCAGTGAGATGCCCAAAAGCATTTCCAGTGAAAAGGCAAAGCTGGAAGAGCCAGGGAAGAGGAGCTGATGGCATGATGTTACAACCATAGTCGCTCCCAGGGCTGCACATGGAGGCTGAGCTCAGGTCTCCATGTGCCTGAAGGTTTGTTTTGGGGACAGAAATAACAGGATAAATTGTTTTGAGGATGAACAGGTGTGCTTGAGAGTTGCTTTATTTTTTTTTTTTTCCTAAACATCCCAAATCAGGAACACCATTTGTCTACACAGAACCACTGTCACCACTACGCTTTGGCTGCTTCTCCCACAACTTTGGCCATTTCTGTCTCAGTGCTGGGTCTGATGCCTGGACAAAGGGTGAGCCTGCAGCTTGGCAATGCTGCTTGTCCTATCTCAGCATGAATCTCTCACTCCAGCACGTGCCCCAGTTCTTTGTACAGTCACAGCAGAACTCTCTCCTCTTGCACTGACCCAACACACTGGTTTCCAAAGAAGTTTTGGTTTCTCATCTCAGCCGGTCTCTGCTGGCCCTCTACTGAGGGTATAAATCCCACACTGATGCTATTCTGGAGTTTACTGCTGCTGTATATGTTACCAGGGGATGCTTCTATCATTTTCTGCTCAGTCCTATTTAGGACACTTCTTATTTTTATAAAGGAAGTTCAAAGTCGAACTCCTCCCCAAAACTCCTTGAGAAGTGTATTAAGGTGTGGCCTAATTTCTTACAAGTTCTTCCATTGGGACATATTCTTCTCCACATCCTCTTCCATCCATCCCTGCACTGTAACTCCACGGGGAGCACATATCAGTTGTGTCCCCATCAGCTTGGGGATCTGCTCCACCCCTCCCACTCCCAACAGGTGCCCTAATTATGTGTGTGTTGTGAGCAGGTAAGTGCTGTAGGGGATACTGTGAAGGCAAGCTGGATGATGTGACCTCCCTTTTTTTCCTGCCTCAAAGATAATTTGAAAGATTTCTTTGCCTTCTAATGTTTCCCTGCATTAGTGAAACTTCCCTATATAAGAGCAGAGCTGGACAAGAAGGTAAGAGCAGAGAGCCTGCAGGCTAAGCACTGCCTGGTGGGCACCTGGAGGTGAGTTGCTATTGGCAGCCAAATGGCTGAATGCCACTGTGGAAGAGCAATGACCTTCGTGGAATCATAACAATCATGGAATCATGAAGGAACGACCTCTAAGATCTCCAACACCAACCCATCCCACCATGCCCACTGACCACGTCCCTCAGAGCCACATTTGCACAATGGCTGAACACCTCCAGAGACAGTGACTTCACCGCCTCTGGGCAGCCTGCACCAGTGCCTCACCACTCTTTCAGATAAGAAGATTTTCTGGATCTATGAGAACATCTTTTGTCTTGCAGTGGGTTTCTTCCTGGCTCTTAAAGGAAGAGATGGCCTCACTTTACATCATCTGTGCCCTGAATCACCCTTTCAGAAGAGATTCTAGCTGTCTAAGATGTGCACTTAGGCAATCTTTACTCACAAAAAGACTGTTTACATTGTATTTAGATCCTAAATCTTGATTCACTCCTGGTTTCTACCTTAATTAGTCCATTTCTGCAACGAAGCAGCAGAAATTACTCCAGTTCTTCCAACGAGGTTTAGACCTCAGTCATTGGCAGCCCCTTCCTGGCCAGTATAATGTGCCTGGTATGCCTAGGGGGCAAGAAGGCACTGTCCCACTCTGCAGGCAGGAAAGGGGTATGGAGAGGGCCCTAACTATGGCTAATCCCACCTGTTGGCAGCTGCCCAGAAGCAGCAGGAGCACACTGGGCGGTCAAGAGACCAGAGGTATCACTGAAGAGGAGGATGGGGATGTGCTGGCGGTCAGAGCCGCAGTCCTGAGCAGTCTCCTAGGAATCAAAGATGGGCATAAGGCCCTGGGTTGGATGAAGCCTTGATCCACACTGGCACGGTGGTTCCTTCAAACTCCCAAGAGTGCTGCAAGTGTTAACATACAGTAGCACTGCTTCTGCCAAGATAATATCTACAATAATATGACAAGGCAGCATAATTTAAGTGGGTGTATGTTGCCTCTCTTCACCCTGAGCAGTTTTTCTGCTGATGGGACCTTGCTAATTTGCTTCCATCAGAAGAATAAATGAATCAACTGAGTCAGCAATGCTCTCCTGTTTTGAATTTTTATTTGTTTTAATCTGATTGTTTCACCATAATTCCCTGGGCAAAAAATGATTCGAACAGAGAGAGGCATTTCCATGTGTGGAAGTCTCAGGCTGCCTCTCCAGAAAGCACAGTGCCCTTGGAACCCATTCTGCCCCTCACAGGTAGGTCTCCAGCGCTCCTGCTGGATTCCCCACACCACGCATGGCCACAGTTCCGATGTTGCTGCATGTCTGCTGAAGATTTTCACTCATCTGAACCTCCAGGAAGGAGAAGATCCTGGGAGATCTTTGCTTGCATTCCCAATTCCCTGCTTGCATTTTTAGGCTCAGGATGACATATCTGGGTGGCAGCTTAATCAAAAGAAAACACAAAAAGCTACCAGAACTGGCATGAAAGGTTTCTTGCACATCTAAACTTGTTGTTTGGATTGTGACTGCTGTGCAGTTCATTACAGGCACTGCAGGCAATAGGTGGGCAGTGGGCCATGCCCTGTGCCCATTCCTGATGGCCCCATCCCCTCATTCATGCTGGGTATTCACCATTAAGGATACACAGATGTACCACGTCATCCCCATGGAGTGGCAGATTGGGAGTCTGGCATGAAGAAGTGCTTTTCCTGCAGTGCTGAAGAAAGACATCAGCAAGACCAGGATAGCTGCAGAAAGCAGCTCTTTGCTCAGTCTTGACTGCATGAACGAGTATTGCACTCTACCTCCCTCATACCATGACAGCAGGCATGGTGACATCTGCCCAAGTGCTCCTACAGGGCATGCATGGGAATGCAGGGAATGCAGCCATGGGGACAAGGCACTCTACCTGACAAGGTTCCTAGTCCATCTGCACCAAGAGATGGACCTCATTCTCCATCCAGCAGTTCCTTTGATGCAATTTGGAGCCCACGGCCCCTTTTATGGCCTCAGTTACATGAATCTGAGCTGGGCAGGGCTGCCTGAGTCTGAAGGTGTCCAGCATGGAAAGGGAGGATCACTGCCATGTTGCAACTTTCCAACTCTGAAACAGGGAGTTGGTGCCAGAGTGAATTTGATTTTTTTTTCCAGGATCTGTTTGAGATGAAAGTTTCCTGGTACGCGCAGTCTGTGCTCCACTGAAGTTCAGCTGCACAAAAAGATATTTATGATCATTTCCCATTAAGTCGAAATCTTCCAAAAGACAGCAAGAAAGCCGTCTTGATGGTGTGAGACAGAGCCTGTTCTCTGCAACAGAATCTCTCCCCATTGTGATCTTGTGGGTGTGATAAGGGCCTACAGACACTAGGTCTTTTTAATTCACAGAGTTGGGAGCAGTAGGCTCTCAGAGGCTTGGCTGGAGATGAAGATATGTGAATTAAAGAGCCTGCGGTGGGACCAGATTTCTGGCTACCAGCCTCTATGATGTCTGGGCCTTTTGTAAAGCACCTTCTTTCCTCCAGGGCTTGGAGCCGGAGGAAAATGTGCAAACATGAGCAGAGGTCAGGGCAGTGGGAACATATGCAAGGGTCCAACCTGGAGCCCTGAATTACAAGCGCCTTGCTGTGCCTGAGGATGGAGGTGTACTTGAAGATGTTGAACTGGGTATAAGTCTGCTTCTACCCAATGTGGAACTGGGGTTACTCTTCTGTTCTGGATATCTCTGGTGCATTTGGTGACTTTTGCAGACCTGGCCATCCATCTTCCTAACAGCTGGGCGAAATAGAGGAGCGAGCATACTGGGAAGGAAGGAGCATGTTGATGTGAGACAGTGGTTTATCCTCAAAGGCAATTGACTTCCAGGGGTCTGGGTTTCCATCTGAGTTCACAAATAAAAGGAAGAAACGCCCTGTAGGATGGGAGACGTAGTCAGGTAATAGGACGATTAACAGATAAAACCATTATTAAAACTATTACTGTCATCAAGTTTATTAAAATGCTTCCAGCTAAATGGATGTGTTGATAATGACAATACAAACAAGGCAACAGCGTTGGGCTAACTCATATGAAGCTAAGCATCTTCCCTCTTCTCAGTTGTGGTACCAGACCCAGGTGGCCACTCATTGTGAGACAGCATGCTGGAATCACAGCGAAAACCAATCCTAACAGCTGTGAGAGCCAGCCAGTGAGTCATGATTGCTGTTGATACCTACAAGATTTTCCTGATTGACAGGAGTTACTAGAAATAGAAAACACAGTTAGGGAGAGACTGCAAGAGATAAATCACCCCGAAGCCCTGATTCATCACTTCTTTGGCCATTAGCTATGTGGGAAAAAAGTCTTTGGCCTCGCATGAATAACGCTGTGTCTTTAATGATGACGTATCGTAGGAGAAAAGTTTGAGCCAACACTGAAACATACAGTTGTGTGAAGCCAAACTCGTCTCCACAGCGCCGGGTATTTTTAGAAGTGGCAGTGATATTACAAATAATGCAGAACCTTCTCCTTGTTCCTCCACTGCCTGACTCAGAGCAACTGGATGAAGCCACAGAGCAAAGGGACACGGAGAAGGAAAGGGAACATTGCGTGTTTGTGTAATTTCCTGGAAATACCTTTTCCCATTAAGAAAAATTATACTTTCCTCCATAATTTTCTGGAAAGCAGGCAGGGAATATTTCTCCCTGTCCCTGGGGAGTCTATATTCCTGCTTACAAGTGCTCCAAAAGAGTTTAAGCCTGTACTTTATTCCCTAGAAGTCAGTGGAGTTTCCTTTATTTCTGCCAATAAATCACAACCATTACGGATATACAGGAGTAATTTCTATCACCATCTGCTGTATTTCCTTTTTTTTTGTTTGTTTTTAATGCTCAAATCGGGTGGCTAGGCACAAGGCTTGCCTTTCTTTGTCTTCTTTTATAATGAAAATACCATCTTGTCGTGTTCTCTGCCCAGGGTGTGGGACGCTAACCGCCCCAGGGGACCACCAGCATCAGCTGTGGGCATCCCCTGGGTGGGGACAAGGTGACAAATGCCATCTTGTCCATTCAGGCAGACTGCTGATCTCCCCTGTGAGCAATGTACGGGGGAGACTCTTGAAGTGCTTCTTTACAATCTATTAAATAGTTGAAAAAAACAAATCTTCATCCCTTTTAGTTTTCAGTAACTCCTGAAGTGTTTAGTC